AATTTGTTGTTCCACGTATTTATGCATCAACTGGTTGCTCCTTGCATATGCCTTGACTGGAGATCAAACTTGCAAACATGGCGTAGCAGGACAACACTGTAGCTGACTTAGCTACCTGGCTAGGGTGCATCGGAAGGTATTGTTACTTCAATATTATAGATAAGGAAATTATAGGTCAGAGAAATAACAGCATGCATGACCAGAAAGTTGCCAAGTTGGGACTTTAGGATGAGTTCCTGATTTCACTCCACTGCATAGCCTTCCCGCATGATAGAAACGTTGCAGCGTTTTCACCAAATGGCACCGGCCTCGCAGAAAGAGAGAATACTGGCAGGAGGCCTGGAGTTTGGGGGAACAAGTTGAATGGACAGAAGGAAAGGCAGAGGAGAAGAGGAAGAAGAAATCAGCAACAGAGGACCCCAGCCCTAGCGTGATGAAGGACATCACGACAGGGGGGGACAACGGGCAAACAGGCAGGAGATGGGGTGGGACTCCGAAGGAAAGAGGCTTTGGGCCACAATAAGCACCCCCATTAGGTAATTCCAGATTAGGAGCTTTGCCGCCCCAGTGACCAGAGGGACTGCTCCTCAGGCTCCCTTCCCCCAGCCCTCTCCTCCTCCCCCTCGCTGATGTCATTTTCCCACTTGGAAGGGACCAAAGACAAAACAGAAACTGAGCAGTGTCTTTATTTTCAGTCCAACCTCCCACCCCACCCCTACTCATCCTCTCTCCCTCGGCCCCCACATCTCTCCCTCTGACTCCCGCATCTCTCTCTGTGGCCCCCACATCTGACTTGGGAGGACACCCATATGGACCACCCTTGATCTTGCCTTTCTTGCCCCCATCCAGTCCTCCTCCTCCAACTGGCCTCTACCCCTGGCTTTTCCCTGGAAGAGATCAATCCCCAGCAATCAGCCTTCCCTGCTGAAGACATTCAAGTATTATTCAGCACAGTTTAGCTCCTCTTTATTCCCAGCTCTCCCTTCCAGAGTAGGAATGTGGCTTCATTTCAAATAACTAAAAGCCCCTCAAAGTGTTTTCCCAAAATAAAAGCTTCTCTTCCCCTTCAGATGAATTTTTCCTCCATCCCTACCACCACTGCAACAAAAATACTGCTTGCCTAAACAGTCTGCATCTCCTTTTCCATCACCAAATTTCAGAAACATTGGTGCCAGGTCACAAAGCATATCCAGGGGTGTCCAACAGGCAGCTTGTGGGCCCAATGTGGCCCAGGATGGGTCACACAATATCATAAATTTACTTAAAACCTTCTCCCCGCCCCTCACCCCACCGCAGCTGGAGTGGCTCAGTGGATTGAGTGCCGGCCTGCAAACCAAAGGGTCATTGGTTTGATTCCCAGTCAGGGCACATGCCTGGGTTACAATGGGGCCAGGCCCCAGGTGGGGGGCGAACAAGAAGCAACCACACATTGATGTTTCTCTCCCTCTCTTTCTCCCTCCCTTCCCTTCTCACTAAAAATAAATAAAATCTTTTTTTAAAAAGGATGTAGCCATAAAATTTTTTAAAAAAACCTTTTTGCTCATCAGTTTTTGTTAGTGTTTGTGTATTTAATGTGTGGTCTAAGACAACTCTTCTTCTTCCAGTATGGCCCACAGACACCAAATGTTAGGACACCCCAGACACGGTACCATTTTTGAAGCATTTTATGGGCTCCATTTCCCTGTCCTATGAAGGCTAGCTCAGTGAGGGGCCCCACATCATGCACAAGAAGCAGCTGCTTTTCATGACCCCACGCTTTTTGCCCTGGAAAGAGGAAGAACTCAGCAAAACCCAGAGTGATGCCTGCCATCTCTAATTGTAGCCCCAGCTACCAGAACATTAACTTGTGGTTCCAGGGAGGTATTTTCCTAATCATCATAAAAAGTAGCGTATAGCTTTTCATTTGCCTTTCCCTCCACTAGGCCCAGAAATTCTCCCAAACTCACGAGGGAGAATTTCCGTTATTTTCTACTCTTTTGGTAATGAGGACAAGGTCAGTGTGTTTTTTCTTTAGGGGAACAATTTGTGTCCTTGTTGTGACAGCTAGAGAAACCTGAATAGAAAGATATTCTTTTCCAGAGTGAGTGCACAGAGAACATTGGCCATCGTGTCACCCACTGTTTATTCATTCTTTTGCCAAACTATTTCTGAGCAAGTCGACATGAGCCGGGCACTAGCCTAGCCGCTGGGGCCACAGAGATGAATAAGACATGAGCTCTACCCTCAAGGAGTCCACAGTATGCTTAAGGCCCAGACAAGGCCAAAGAAAATTCCACTGGGACATGACAAGAATGATGAGAATGTGAAAGGCGCATGTGCAATGCTTTCTAGGCACCCGGGAGGGTTCTCCCACCTGGACGGAGAGAGGAAGTGGTCAGGGACCGCTCAGCCGAACAGAACTGATATTGGTGATTGAATACCAGTCACGGTTTATCTGTCTCGGAATGCACAAATGGAGGGCTCTGCGTGTCCTGCCAGGAGTTCTGGCTGTAGCCTGAGATTAGCTGAAGGCCATTTACTTTGTAATTCTAAACAGGCCGTAGGAAGACTCCCACATGAAATTTCTTCCGGTCTCTGGGCCTGAGGTTCTAGGGTATTTCATTCCCGTTAGGGCGAGGGAGATCAACCTTTAGAGTGAGATCAGCAGACCAGGAGACCAACATGTCAGCTCTCGGGGAGTTCTTGGTTCTCCTGTCCCTGAGCCCACGAATCCCTGTGTGCCTTGAGGAAAGCTCTTTAACCATCTTGTTCTACAAAGAAGTGATAAGCAGTGAGACTACCTCTCTAGTGGCCAAAAGGCCTGGGAATTGGGCTGCTGTGTTGGGCCCATGGTTGGTGAGAGGGATACAGTAATGTTTTGTTGAGTGTGCGCCTAAACTGCCAATGTGAAGGAGTTTGGAATAATCAAGACTCATGGAGATAAAAATTAAAAAATGTCCTACTGTGATTTATATTGAGGGGCAAGGCAAAAAGATACCTATTAGACAGTACGTTCTTAAGATGAAAATTAAATCACATATTAAAAGAAAACATTTTAGTCCTGGCTGGCGTAGCTCAGTGGATTGAGCGCAGGCTGCGAACCAAAGCATCACAGGTTCCATTCTCAGTCAGGGCACATGCCTGGGTTGTAGGCCATGACCCCCAGCAACCGCACATTGATGTTTCTCTCTCTATATCTTCCTCCCTTCCCTCTCTAAAAATAAATAAGTAAAATCTTTAAAAAAAAGTACACACATACTCTTTTTTTTTAAAAGAAATAAAACATTTTAAAAAGTAGACAGAAGTTAATATGATAGAAGAGAACTTTTTTCAAAATTGTACCAAGCTATTGGACACCCAGTGATTAAAAAAACTGAATTCTGCATCCATCTTAGGGGGGGGTCAAGATTTCCTTCTAGTGACAGCTAAAACTCGTTTCAGGTAGATGGGCATCTGACAAGTGTCTTACTGTTGTGGTCACCTTTATTACTCAAAGTTAGCTTTAAAAGAGGAAAAAGTTTCCCAAGTAAGAGCCTAGTACAGGATCCTTAAGGCAGAGAAGGCTGAGCTGCAGAGAGGAAGTGGGTAGGTACCTGGCATCTTCCCCTTCCTTGACCTCACGTCCCTCCAGCTTCCAAAAGAGCATAATTTGAGTCTGTTTGGAGATCAGTGCCTGTGCAAGAGCCTCACTCTTCACTCCTGAATGAAAGGAAACACTTCATCACTTGGAGAAAAACAAAATGTATTCAAAGTCTGCTCAGTTGTTTGAAAATGTAGCATGTTTGCTTGGGTGCAACATCGTAACGAATGTCTATCTAATCCTCCTGTGGGCCGAGTGCCCCTGTAGGTCTTCTGCAGGTCAGCTGCCTTCTCACAGCTAATGCTTGAGGTAGAGGCTACGATTATTCTCATTTTACTGTTGGATGTGGAAACAGGTATAGAAAAGCAACTGGTCTAGTCATGAGGGATTCATGATGCCCAAGACACTCGCCCTACCCTCCAAAACTGTACATGACAGGCCAGCAATCTGGTCCCATGTCCTGGTGGCTCCAGAGACATGCCACTAACCCTTAGAGCAGTGTTTTGTCTTGTTTTCCAACCTGGGGTGATTTTTGTCACCCAGGGGACATTTGGCAATGTGTGGAGACATTTCTGGTTGTCACATCTAAGTGGGTGCCCTCTTCCCACAAGCTTGGCAGGGAAAAAAAGAGAGAATAGGGTGGGCAACACCAGGCAGGTCCCCAAGATGGTGAACCTCGATTGCAGGGCTAGAACCCACTGGGCCTGTTCTGGCAAAAGAGCAGAAGGTACGAATGTACAGAAGGGGATTGACATAAACAGTGACTAACATGCAGGTGATGTGCAGACTCCACGAACTGAGTCGGTAATGCAATGACTGGGGCTTGGAAAATAACCATGTACGGTCTGCAACTTGTCACATTTAAGTCCACTGTGAGCTTTTTTTACCCGTTTAGTCAGTTTGCTCTGAAGTACTGTGCTCACCAGAGGACGTAGTTTTCCTAAATCGACAGAAAATAAAACTTAAATTTGTCCCAATTCTCCCAGTTTTGGGAAGAGAGGACAAAATGGAGGCCCACACACCATCCCAAAGGTTTTCAGGACATCAAAACCTTGATGTGGCTGACCCACTTAGCTTGTTAACAGACTAAAATTGCACTGAAATTACTTCCATTTCATGCAGAAGCCGAAATAGGAAAGAGGTCCTTTAAGAAACAGCTATAAACAGTAAACCGTACAGGTTAACAAGTAGCAAATGTAGAAATAAGTATCTAGCTCCCCCGCCTTGAATTAGTCCTTTTTAGGCTGGGGCAAAAATTAAAGACAAAGTCTTACTTTCTCAAGTACTCAGCTACTCTGAAGCCATAACAGTAACCTTCCCCTCGCAATAGGGACTGAGGGACCCAACCAAAGGGCGGCAGGGCCGTGTGGCTCTTCCCACCCGGGCTCCAGCGCTGGCCCCGCCCCCTCACGACGAGAACCCGCCCTTTCCGGCCCCCGCCTCCGCAGGCCCCGCCTCCTCTGCTCCGCGATCCTCCTCGCGGCTCCGGGGTGCACTGAAGATGGCGGCCACGGTGGGAAGGTTGCTGCGGGCTACGGTGAGTGGCAGCCAGCAGGGAACAAGTGCGGAGGCACTGTGGTGGCTGCGAGAACGTGGCTCCCAGACTCAGTCCCACTCCTTTGCGGTCCGGGGGATAGTTCGCTCTTGGAAGGTGTCAGCGGGTAACGGACCCAGCAGCCTTCTCCTCTAGGGAATGCTCCTCGCGCCTGCGCAGAGCTTCCCTTCCCCGGCCCTCTCCTCGTGGTCCCCTCCTTTAAGGCATTCTCGCTCGGAGTTGCAGGTCCCCAGTCCTCTCTCTACCTGAGCACACGCATGGTCCTGCGGGCGGGCTACCTGCCTCGGGTCCTGGTTCTGTAACAGACTCTATGACCTTGGGAAGTGACTTCGCCTTTTCGAATCTCAGTTCACTTTCCTTACCTTCAGGTGGAAAGAGTGATGCCCACATCAAGGTGTGGCTGGGAGCATCCACCAACGGCTGGATGGAAACCGAAGTGCTAATGTAACCAAAGTGCTAAAACGCAAAAGGCGCTCTTCTCCCACCCCCTAGATGTGCCCCCACGCTTTCCTCCTGGCAAAGCCCAGGACCCTCGTGGTACCCACCCACCCCCTTTCTCACGGCGGGGTTCAACGCAGGCGCTTCTTCCTGAGTCATGCTGGGCATTAAAATTGGGCAAACCTTACCCTTGAGCCCCATCCAAACTTTCCTAGAGGCTGAACTTTGCTCTACTTGTTTGCTTGTCGGTGGGGCTGGAAAGGCCTTGTCTTTTCTAAGGAAAACCTTGACGTGGTAGAATGTCTCAGCATTTTCGTCCTGGCAGAAAGGCTTAAATACACGGGGCCTGGCCAAGTCCCCTTGGTTTTTGAACCCTCAGTGTTGCTTTTAAGAGCATAGGGTCTTTCTTTATGGCCCTCCCTTGCAGTGTTTTTTTGAAATGTATATATTTAAATAAAAATCATCTATGTTTAAGATGTACAACATGATAATTCGATATACTTAATTAAATGATTACTACAGTCCAGCTAATGAGCATCTCTCTTCATGTAGTTACCTTTTCGTGTGTGTGATGAGTGCCCCTGAAATCGGCTCTCCTGCCATGTTCCCAGTGTTGTTACTCAGTATAGTCGTCACGCTGTACATTAGCTCTCTGGACTTACCCATCCTACCTAACTGCAGCTGTGTGCCCATGACCAATATCTTGTGCATTCTTGAAGAAGGAGGAAGTAGGAGGGAATGTGAAGAAGCTGGAGACCCAGTCCATGCTCTTAGAGTTTTGGTTCGGTGTGGGGTCCATAGGAACAAGGACAGCTGAGGCCCCCATTGGCCTGTGCCCTTTCCGCAGGGCCAGCCTTTAGCCACCGTTCTGAGACAACTTCCTCATACAAAGTGTTTCTCTTACCAGGCTGCCCGACACATGAGCGCCATCTCTGCCTCTGCAGCCCTTCGGCCTGCTGCTTCTCGAAGAACGAGCTTGACAAGTGTGTCGTGGTCTGCTTCCAGCCAAGCAAAATTTGCCTTTAGCACCAGTAAGTGTTACGCCTTGTGCTGACCCAGGCGGTGGAAACATGAGTCATCTCTGGACAGGGGCTCTGAACCCTGGCTGTACATGCTTTAGACTCACCTGGGGAGCTTTTAGAAACACACCTGGCCCCAGGCCCACCCCGGACAAATTGAGTCACTCTCTGGAGTGACTTCCAGGATATCAATGTTTTGTAAAATCTCACCAAGTGATTTTGCCCTGGCTGGTGCAGCTCAGTGTATTGAGTGCCGGCCTATGAACTTAAAGGTCACCGGTTTGATTCCCAGTCAGGGCACAGGCCTGGGTTGCAGGCCAGGTCTCCAGTTGGGGGCACATGAGAAGCAACCAATTGATATTTCTTTCCCTCTTTCTCCGTCCCTTCCTCTTTCTAGAAATAAAATCTTTAAATATTTTTATTTATTTATTTATTTTTAGAGAGGGAAGGGAGGGAGAGAGAGAGAGAAACATCTGTGTGGTTGCTGGGGGTCACGGCCTGCAACCCAGGCATGTACTCTAACTGGGAATCGAACCTGCGACACTTTGGTTCGGGAATAAAATCTTTAAATAAATAAAAAGTAAAATCTCACCAAGTGATGCTAATGTGCAGCAGCCAGGGTTCAGAATCACTGAGGCAAACCGCCCTTGTGTCCACTTCCGTGTTGGTTACCCAGGTTTGAATCCTGGTGGAGGAACACGGGTAGGGGTGCGGGGAGATGACTCAGATGCTTCTGTGGCAGGGAGGGGTGTGAGGTAAGTGGGAGGGGCAGGCAGCCTGTCAGCAAGGAGACTTTTGGATTCGAACCTGTGTGCAGGCTCCAGTTGGCCATGGCAGTCCCTGGGCTCCTCCATGACCTCAGCGTGAAGCATAGCTATTACTTGAGAATTACACTCCATTTTCTAGAATGTGGGCTTTGCTGCGATCAGCCTCAGATAATGAGTGGCATTGGAAAATGCCTCCTCTAGATTTGTCTCACATTTGAAAAAGCTTGTGATGGTGTGGGGGGTATACTTTAGCAAAGCCTTTGTTTACGGGTGAAATGTTCTAAAACGGGTCCCCAGCCTCCAGCCCGAGGACCGGTACTGGTCTGGGCCTGTTAGGAACCAGGTCCCGGAGCAGGAGGTGAGCTCGAATGTGATGCGCTTGAATCGCCCCAAAACCATCCCCTCACCTTGGTCCATGGAAAAATTGTCTTCCCTGGTGCCAAAAAGCCTGGGGACCCCAGTTCTAAAAAGTTTTACAATTTCACCACTGTGGAACATTCCAACTTTCTGAGGCGTGACTTGCTGCCACACATTGAAAACTTTCGTTGTTACCTATTCCAGATTCCCACCTGCAGCGGCTCCTGTAGTTTCTGCGGCGCAGGCGTTTTGACACACGATCTCTCTAGTCTCTCGATCTCCTTTGTTCCTCACTGTAGATAGAAGCAAGTCCTCTCTAGTTCTGACACAGCTCTTGAATTCTTTTCATTGTTCCTGGTCTTCCCTCCACACACCCTTCCCCTCCGCACTTCTCCCTCCGATAGGGAAATCTCCTGCTACCTTCAGTGCCCCTCCTCCAGCTCCTCTCACCCTCCCCCACCCCAGACTAATCTGCCTAAGAACAGCCAGCTTCCATCTATGCGAAAACCTCCAGTAACTCCTTTATCTCTTACTTTAAGAACACTCCTCACCCTGACATTCGGGGCGTAAGAGCGTGGCCTTCAGCCACTCTTGCTTTGTCCACCACTCTTCGTCCTGCCCCACTCACCTGCTCTCTCTGTTCCGACCGCGCTGCGCCTCGGCCAGACCCCACGCTCGCCTCCTCCTTCCTCCATGCCATTGGCCCTCTCCCGTCTGGACTTGGCAAAATCAGAACCGTATTTAGGATCCATATCCAGTCTCATGTCTTCCTCAATTCCATCCCTACCATCGCTGGTCATCTTTTTGGTTAGTTTTCCATGGCACTTTTCAACTGAATTTGTGTACAGTCCAGAACTATGGGAGGAAAATTAATTTACGTAAGATGTACAGTTGAACTGAATCTCCTAGTTAATTTATACAACTAATGCATTATTGTTAATTTATACGACTAACGCATTATTGGGAGAGCTTTAAATAAAATTATAGGTGCTTGCATTAGCAAATGATAAACTCCATGTGCCTGTGGTTTTTTTCAGGTTCCGCATACCATGCCCCGGCCGTCACCCAGCACGCTCCCTACTTTAAGGGCACAGCCGTTGTCAAGGGAGAGTTCAAAGAACTAAGCCTTGATGACTTCAAGGGGAAGTACTTGGTGCTTTTCTTCTATCCTCTGGATTTGTGAGTGTCATTTCTGCAGTACCTGAATGTCGTTCTGAGAGCGGGCAGAGGTCCCCACTTGCATGCTGACGCTGTCTGCCCCAAGGCAGGCTCCGTGCCAAGAAGGGTTCTTTCTGAGCCTCTCTCACTGACGGCCTTGCGGGCGCAGCTTGCCTCTGTAGCTAATTTCCAAGTGTCAGATTTAGAGGGTGGCGTGGCGTTCTCTTTCACACGGTTGGTGGGGTTTTCGTAAGGGCGCTGCACGTGCTCGGGAGCGGCGGCTCCTGCAGGCCAGTCTGTGGGGAAGTTTTCGCTGGTCTGGAAGAAAGTGAGGAAAGCACAGATAATAAAGGGAGTTTCCTCATAAAGCTACTTAATTTAAACAAAATTGTTCTTCATTCTTAGACTGTGTCTCCCCACCCCTTCCCGCATTTCCGGACACAGTTCTTAAATCGAAAAGTGTGTCTGGGAATGGTCCACCATTTTGCCTTTAGGCAAATTAAACTAGTTTTTACACTATCTATTGTTCATATTTTAAATCCTTGTTTTTAAACTCTCTGACGAGAATTACTGCCCCTTTTCTCCAGCACCTTTGTGTGTCCCACGGAAATCGTTGCTTTCAGCGACAAGGCCAACGAGTTCCGAGACGCGAACTGTGAGGTGGTGGCCGTCTCCGTGGACTCCCACTTCACCCACCTCGCCTGGATCAACACGCCGAGGAAGGTCTGGACGCCGCGTGTCTTGGCTTTGCTCTTGGGGTCTTAAAACAGAAAAGACCCCGCCAGAGACTAACCTGGGGGTCGTTAAAGCAGGCCTCGTCTGAAATGGGCTGTTTGTAGGCCCTCGCCTGCTGGCAGATTCTGCTAGCTGTGCCCTCAGGTCCCTTGGCCTTGCATGCCTGTTTACTCCCCGCTGCACTCTTATTTCCACGGTCCAGATGGTGACGGGCAGCTGGCTCTGCAGGGCGGGGGCACGGCTGGGTCTGTCGCCGGTGCCCTGTCGATCCCATGTGCCCTGCGTGGCTTGTGGGGCGGTGGGTAGATTCTCTGACTTCAGTGTTCCGTGTGCTCAGTATTTTTGCCTAAAAACGTGCTCGGAAGAATCAGAATTTCTAGCTAAGATGCTGGACTGTCAATAACAAATTATTCAGGGTTTTGTTTTTTTTTTTAATACGCTTTCCTTTTTCTGCTTCGAAGTAGAAAAAGAAAGCCCTGTAGTGTTAGCCGGGTTTAAATCCTGCTTCTGTCCCTTTCTAGCTGGGACCTAAAGCAAGTCCCTTAACCTTGTCTGCCTCAGTTTTCTGATCTTCGAAAAGGTGGTGACAGTAGTTTCCACTCCAGGGGCGTCGGGAAGGGGGAGTGAGCTCACGGAGCTGAGAGCGGTGCTTGCCCCGTCGCTGGTGCGCAGTCCCTGCTGCCGGTTGCCATTATCGCTGGTCTCGGACGCCGTGTTACCTGGCCGCGCAAATGTCGCGAGAGCGCCCGAGTAACAGCCCGTCTCGTTTGCATTTTTGTTAGAGCGGCGGCTTGGGCCCCATGAACATCGCGCTGCTGTCGGACCTGACCAAGCAGATCTCGCGAGACTACGGCGTGCTGCTGGAAGGCCCTGGGCTCGCGCTGAGGTGAGAGGTCCTGTTCCTCGGGATCTGCGTGTTTGGCATCATGCCACTTCTTAGGGAATGTACGGAGACGTTTGTAGGGACCTTGGCAGAGCATTCTGGAAACCCAAAGTCCTTAACTTGAGCTTTCTAATAAGCCCCAGTGAATGCCCCTTGCGAGGCTTGGCGGTCTTTCAGAAATGGCCTAGACACGTCTGCCCCGCACCACCCTGTGTCTGTCCAAGGACGGACATGGTGTCCTGATGGTCACACTACTGCACTCTCCTGTCTGAGAGCCGCCTTGGGGGGGGGGGGGGGCGCATCCTGGGTTTCCGGGGCAGGGGGACCGGCAGGGCCGAGTCGGCACCCTGGAACGGGCGAGCTCTCGGAAGGCCCTGGAATCAAACCAGCCGGGTGTGTTTGTGTTTAAACTCGGCTCCTTAATAGCTTAATAGTGTAACTTTGGGCAGGTTACTGCACCTCTTTGGGTCCCAGTGTTTTCCTAACCAAAAGGAGGATGTGCCTCCCAGGTTGGTTGTGAAGACTGAGCGAGATGAGGCGGCTGAGGTTGTTAGCACTTTATGACCCCTGGTTATGACCCCTGTGTCAGAAGGTCATTACTGTCCTCTTTCATTCATTCTGTGGTTACATTTTCATTCCTTTGAGTGCGGAAGCCTGCTTTCTGTCTGTAGCAGCCCCGCATGCAAACCCACCCGTCCTGGGAGGGATGAAAGCTTTCCTTAGAACTGGCACCTTCATGGCCACTGAGGGAAGGGGAGGGATTGGGTGGAACTTGACCTCCAGGACGCAGGTGAGGACCCCAGACTGTGGCTTACAGTTTGGCTTGGGCCTGCTTCCCTTTTGCGTTATACCCGGAATTTTAGCTCTGGGGGTCACGGTGGAGCATGGGCCTTTTTTAACCCAAGGCGATTACTGTCTTTCTTTGCTAAAGTAAAATCCAGCTCAGACAGAGTTGGCAAGGTGAGGAGAAACAGTGCTGGCTTTTTCCTCCCTGGATCCTTCCCTGTCGGGTCTTACTTCTTTCACAGTTACCTCCCTACCGGTTTCAGTTAGGACTGGCGGGGGAGAGGAGCAGAGTCTGGCTTGTACGATAAGGCTTTCTTTCTGGAGTCTGTGGGCCCTGCTCCGTCCCAGCTCCGTGTCTGCACCTGCCCCGTGGACTCCAGTGTGGCTCACCTCCAGGAGCACGCCACGGGACCTGGGAGCCTCAAAGCCAAACATCCGGGGGCCAGGCCCAGGGAGGGAGAAGCACCTTCCTACCTTGTGAGTTTTCTCTGGCTCACCTTTTCCCAGAGCGATTGACACTTGGAATGCCACACCCTTCGTTTATTTGTGTATTTGTTTTTAAATTTGTATTGTATTTATTGGCTGACATTGGTGAATAAATGTGAGTTTCAGGTGGGTTCTTCCTTCAGATTTCTGCTCCGTATAGACTTCTTTCTGCAAGGATTTTCCCGTGGGATCTCCACCCTGCTTTATCCAAGAATTCACTCATTTCATAAGTATTTACTGAAAACAGATAAAATACATCTCTGTCCCTTCCCATTTGCCTGTGGTTTCTTGCCAAGAGCTGATACAGCAGCCCCAGGAATGCTTGCTAAGTCACTAATAAGGAAAGAAGTCTCCGCTCTCTGTGACTTTCAGATACTGTGTGACATTCAGGTCACATTTGCCTGTTTTCTACGGTGGCCTGGTCCAGTCCTGCCTAACAATGAAAACTTTGTTTTTCAGCAAATGATAGCACTTAATAAAGGCTTTATTAGGGAGCATTAAAGACAGAAGAGGGTGGAAGTTAGAGTCTTTCTAGTTCTGGCACTGCTGAGGCACTAATGGGGACAACTTGTGACGCAGAGGTCTCTTCATCATTGACCCCAACGGAGTCATCAAGCATCTGAGTGTCAATGATCTCCCGGTGGGCCGAAGCGTGGAAGAGACCCTCCGCCTGGTGAAGGCATTCCAGTTCGTGGAAACCCATGGAGAAGTCTGCCCAGCAAACTGGACCCCGGACTCCCCTACGGTAGGTTTCCTTTCCGAAAGCCCTGGGCCCCCGACTGCCTCCAGGGCTGCTGGTCTGGAATATCCACAGAAGGTATCTGCCCTTGGAGCAAGGCTGCAGAGGGTGTGTGAATGGGCGAAGCTGCCAAGAGGTGGGACCAGGGGTTAGGCAGACGGGCGCTGTAACTTTTATCCATGTGTTTAAAAGGAAACAGACTAGCCTTTAAAAAGTTAAAGAACTTTAGTGTAAAACTTTAGAGCTTTCAACTTGCTTTTGAAACTACTGCCTTAAAGTCAGTTACCTAACTGTTTGTGTTTTCAGATCAAGCCACATCCGACTGCTTCCAAAGAATACTTTGAGAAGGTGAATCAGTAGATCATCCCGTGCGTACCTGCAGCTTCTCAAAAGAACCACAGTTGGAACTCTTAGCATTTCAAAGATGATTATGTGTAGAAGGCAAGAAAGCAATTATGCTTGCATTCATAAACATTACTCTAAATGTTTTTGTACATTGACTAAAGCTTTTTAAACATAGTTAGTTACTAACATGAGTCCTTTGTTGGTAACTCTTGATGGCCAGCTGTGTATAGACGGCCTGGCCCACCACCCGTTTCTTCAATCACGTCTTCCATGGGAGGCGCGCTTAGCCCTGCTTGAACCTTTGTGTGCCCCAGTGCCGGACAGGTACCAAAAGCCTCTGAGCAAGGGTCCTGGAATTCTCTTCTCGAATTTCTTTTTATTAAACTGAATTTTCTTTTGAGGTAACAAAGATCAAGGGTCCTGAAATTCTCTTCTCAAATTTCTTTGTATTGAACTGAATTTCCTTTTGAGGTAACAAAGATCATAGTTTTAAGTTGTTAGCATCAGCAGTCTAGTTTAAATTCAGCTCTTGGAGCGGAGATATATGATGTAACAAATGTGAATCATGTATTTAAAAAAAACACAATGGCAAAGTGACTTCACCGGCCATGCATGTTGCTCGTCCCTGAGATTTGTAGTTTGTGTAATTTTATTTGTTAGCTGACTTGGTGTCTACATACATTTCTAAAGATCAGTCGAAGGTGATTATAGGGGATATTTATTGAATCCATGGATTGCATTTTGAAATCAATGTAATTATATTTTCTGAAGCACTCAATGTAAAGTATATAATAAAAATAAACATTTTAAAATATTTGCATTTTAACACCATTAATTGTTGGTTCGGCTTATGTTATTGGGCTCTAGTTTTCCTCCCGACTATGTCCACAAACTTCTGAGCATTTAACCTAACTCGGGCCCCACCCCCAGGGAACTCAGGTTAGGGGGCGCGAGAAATAGAAGCATGTATTCATTATTTCGGTAAACCCTACAGTGCCTGCCGTGTGCCAGGTGCTGTTGTGGCGGCCCAAGAGTGACCAAACAGCGACAGACCTTTTCCTTCATGCACTTGCATTTTAGAGGGGGAAACACGGTCAACAGAACAGTGAACAGAAAGTTTGGGAGGAAAACAAAGTGGAGCGAGGTGCAGGTGTTCTAGGTAGGGTCGTCAGGGAAGCTCTTGGGGGAGAGACGGTCTCCCCAGGCCTGTTTTCTCACCTGTACAATGAGGGCGATCATTGTGCCTGTTTCAGGGTTTTGATGAGGATGAAATGAAGTCACGTGTCCGAAGTGAGGGCAGTAGGGGGGTAGGAAGGTTCCAGGCAAAGGCCCCAAGGCAGGAATTTTGGTGGGAATGGAGACTTGCAGGGCCTTGGGACTTCACAGAGCAGTGGGGGAGGAGAGTGGTGATGAGCCCAGAGTGCCCCAGGGGCACACCAAGAACTTGGGATTCTGTTCTGAGATGGGAAACAGGAGGGTTTTGAGAAGAGTTACATCAACTTGTTCTCATAGGATGGCCAGCTCCTTTAAGACTAGATTGTAAGGGTCCAGAGAGGGCAGCTGGGTTGGGTTTGTCACACCTGTGGGTAGAGCGGACAGAGTGACACAGGTGTGCTGACTACTGGGGTACAATAAATACATTCCTGGGCCACAGGGGGACAGTGGGGCGAGGAGGGGCTCTTTACCTAGCTATGGGCATCAGGGAAGGCTTCCTCAAGAGGAGAGGAACTTTCACGGTTGTTGAAAAGTGAGCCAGGTCAGCTGAGGGAAAGGAGCTGTGGGCCTGAAAAAAACCCTGATCTGGTTTCAGGTTCCCTGAGGGGAAGGCAAGGAGGGAATAGGCTGGCTGGGTGTTGGTGGCCCAAACCCTGAGGCAGGTACTATTATTACCCTCACTAATGGTAAACAGAACTGGGGAGAGTGACTTGACTAGGGTCACACAACTAAGAAATGGGTGGTGCTGGGTCCCCAGCCCGGCACTCCTGAGGATCCCCCCACCCCAGCCATCACCCTAAACATCCACACTGGCTTCCACCAACCCCTACCTACCATCCCAGTGAGGGGGTGGAGGAGGGGGCCTCAGGAAGAAGGGAGGTTCATTTTTTCTCTCTACCAAATGCCCCTGTTTGATCTGGTTATCAACAGAAAGACCTGGTTTTGCCCCAGAGCTGGAGGAAAAACTTACCCAGGGCCAGCTTCAAGGCCCGGGCTGGGTTTAACGCTCTGATCTTGGCTCTTCTCGATCTTGTTACATTTTCAATTTTCACTGGGCCACGAAAATTATGTAGCCAGTTTTGACTATCCCCAATATCTGTACCCTGGGCTTCAGAGGGCAACAGAAGGGATTTCCGAGGGTATGCCCCAAAGCTTACGTTGGTGCTGTGATATGGGGGTTCTCTGGGAGGTGACCCCTCCCGCCCTGGAAGCGGCCAGGCTACTCTAAGGGAAGAAGCATGGTTGAGATGACTTGGTCTGTGAGAAAGGTGGGCTGATAAGAATAGTGGGTGCGCGGTGACCAGGGGCACTAGAAGGCAGTGACACCGAGCAGCCGGTGTGCAGGGCCCTGGGAGCTCGGGAACGGTGACAAGAGCGGCCATGTGCGGCCCTGGCGCGTGTGACACTAAGTCGCGGGAACGCTGGCCCGGGGATTGGAACAGGGGGCGCGCGTGCGCTCGGGGCGGGGCACGCTGCCTGGCTCCTCCTCCGCGCCTGGCCTGGCGGCGGCGGCGGCGGCCTCTCCAGCCATCACGTAGGTTCCCAGGAAGAGAAGCCGGAGGAGGAAGCCCGGGGGCACACGGCTCCGGGGGGGCGCAGCAGCACCGCCGGCCGCATGGAGCCCAACGTGCGCTTCTGGATCACGGAACGCCAAGTACGGCCCGGGACCCGCGCGCCTGGGGGTGGGGCGAGATGCGTGGAGTCGCCCCGCTGGCCCGCGTGACCTTGGGCAGGCCACGTGGTCGCATTACCCGCCTCCCCACCTCGCAACCCCGAGAGAGGGCGTAAGGGAAAGCCTGGCTTGCCGGAGGCCAACATCCACGGCTGCCATCTCTGCCCCAGGCCTGGCTAGGAAGGGTCGCCTTGCAGATCGCCCTAAATGAGGAGTCAGTCTCCTTTCGCAGGTGTCTGCCCACTGCTGCCTGAGCTGTTGCCGAACATCGGGTTGCCTCTGGTTGGAGAGGAACGGGTCCTCCCGGGAGCCCCAGCCTCCCAACCCCCGTGGGCGGGGCCGCTCACGCTGTGAGAGCAGTCCCGCAGGCCCCGCCTCCACGCAGTGTCTGGGCCGGCGCCGTCCAATAGCAGCAGGATGGGAGCCAAGCAGATAATTTAAAGTGTTCTGGCAGCCACGTTACAAAAGGCAAAAAGAAACATCCGAAGTTAATTTTAGTATGTTGTATTTATCCCAGTAGATACAAAATATTAACTTTTCAATTTGTAATCTGTATAAGATTATTAGTGACATAGTTTACGTCCTTTTTTTTCCAATTATGGTTAAGTCTTGGAAATCTTGTGTGTATTTTACACACACAGTGCATCTCGATTTGGCCTGGCCGTGTATCAACGATTCCAAAGCCACATGTGGCTAATTGGACGGCGCAGTTCTGGGGTGTTCTCCTTCAGCCCGCATTTACCTAAAGTAGGGCCCAGCCTGTTTTTTTAAGTTGGGGAAACAGAGAAGGGACAGGGAGCCCAAGGTGGCCCTGCAAAGCCAGAACTCAAAACCGGAACCACGGTGAAGTCTGGAGCAAAGCATGCCTCCTTTCTCCACCGGCCCACCGTTTAATTCCTGCAGAGCAATTTGGCAGAGGAGTGGTTCAGAGCCCAGCCCCCCGAGTCTTTTCCTGACCCGGTTCCCTTCACCATGTTCGTGAACCCTTCCAAGCCGCAGCTTCCTCACCTGGAGGATGGGGTTTTTAGGAGACGCTGCAGGCAGACATTCCTACTGGGTTCTCAAAAATAATGTTAGCAGTTCTTATTACTGTGTATCTTTGTTGTTCTGCTCTGTTAACCTCTCGGGTGCTTTCCCCCTCCTAAGTCTTTTATTCAGAGAGTTCTTCAGTGGACAGAGTTATTGGATCCTACCAATTTGTTCATTTCCGTTGTAAGTATTTGTTTGTTTGTTTGTTTTCAGACATCATGAATTTTACCCTTTATACTGAAACGAGAAGTCTGTGTGTCTCTTTTGAAAGTAGGCGAAATACGAGAACCCCCACACACGCATTAGTGCGCTTTTATTCTTTCCAGTGAGCTTTTGAGACAGGAAGGGTGGCGAGTGAAAGTGGACAGACAGAGAACCGGTCCTCCTGAGCTCTGGGCCGGGTGCTGGAGGTTCAGAGAGGGTTGGACAAACCTCCCTGGGAATGGAAGACAGACGGGCAGTGCTGGTCACAGACCCTGACCCAGGGGTCGAAGGGCGGGGTGTCACAGGGGATTGGGGGAGGGTGTGGAAGGGGGGCTTGGGGGGGGCACTGTAAGTAAAGCCCAGGGGAGGAGAGCAGGTCACCCAGTCTCTGGGGCTTTTTGTGAGGGGGATCCAAGTGGTTCCTGAAGGTCCTTGTGTGTGTCTCAGACAAGACGAGTTTGCACTTGGCCTGCAGGGCAGTGTTTCTGTGACACAGGGTTTCTTTGGTGACCGTGGGTTGTGACCAGAGGGGTCCAGGCTGTGAGTGAGGCGATCAGCTCACAGGACGGCAGAGCCTTTAAACAGAAGTCGAGGGTTGGAACCAGGTGTGGCTGGGGGATGTGGCAGAGAGATCCTGTCACCAGCAGTGACCCTTTGGGCCAGCCCCAAAGGGACACGCCCATCCTCATGCTCAAGATGGTCCATTTAGCCTTGTTCATAATAGAGAGAAACAGGAAACAGCCTGAATGCCCAGCAGTAGAAATATCTAATATGGTATATTCATACAGTGGAATACTGATTAGCTGTTAAAAGTGATGATCTAGTAATCAACACAGGGGAAGTAGAAACATACAATATACATGTACATGGTGTTAAATGGGAAAAAATAGTTATCTGTGATGTTTAGTGGAAAAGCAAGATGCATAAATACTGTATGCAAATTACAAAAAAATCCAACACTTCATATTTATTTATGAATACATGTATTCATGTGTGTATGAGCAAGAAAAAAGGACTGAAAATTTATACCTTGAACTCGTAATAGTGGTTACTCTGATAGGATGGAGAAGAAAATGAGACTGGGGTGCTGGTTCTTTTGGGGGAAAAAATTAGAAACCAATATAACTGAGTGTTTACAGTTGTTAATTCTGGGTGAGGGAAATTATAAGTATATAATCATTCTTTGTTTTTGCTTTTTTAATTTTTTAAAGATTGTATTTATTTATTTGTAGACAGAGGAGAAAGGAGGGAGTAAGGGAGGGAGGAAAACATCAGTGTGAGAGAGAAACACTGATCAGTTGTCCCTCCTATGCTCCCCGACAGGGGACTGAACCCACAACCCAGGCATGTGCCCTGACCAGGAACTGAACCGGCAACCTTTTGCTTTGTGGGACGATACCCTGCCAACTGAGCCACACCAGTCAGGGCTTCTTTGTATTTTCTGCATTTAATTTTTCCCCTTAAATTACGTACAAAAGAGGGGAAATAAGACTGAACTGACTAGATGAGGGGGGAGTGAGAGAGAAGGGACTTCCAGTTTCTGACTCTCGCAGCCGAGTAGACGGTGGTTTCGTTCCCTGAGACAGTTGACAGCAGAAAGAACAGGGAGGTGGCCGCGCCAGCGGGGTCAGCTGCTGGGGCTGGCTGGGAGGTCTGATTGACAACATCCTGGCACTACCCTGATGGGAACTCCT